ATCTATCTATCTATCTATCTATCTATCTATCTATCTATCTATCTATCTATCTATCTATCATCTATCTATTTATCTATCTATCTACTCTATCTCATCCTTCCTCTTTTTATCATATCTATCATCTATCTATATCATGTCATCACGTCTGTCTGTCTGTCTGTCTATCTCATCCATCCTCCATCTATCATATCTATCTATCATCTATCAATGTCATGTCATGTCATGTCATATCATGCCAATCTATCTATCTATCCACCAACCATCTATTTATCTTCTGCCTTTTTACAAATAACTCAAGACAGTGAACTTATCCAACACACCTTCCATTCCCTATTTTCCCTACAGCAACAACCCTGTGAGGTGGTTGGGCTGAGAAGAGAGGGACTGGCCCAAAGTTACTCAGCTGGCTTTTATACCTAAAGTGGGACTAGAACTCCCAGTCTCCTGGTGACTGACCCAAAATCACCCAGCCAGCTTTCCTGCCTTAGGTGGGACTTGAACTCTTGGTCTCCTACTTTCTAGCCTGGAGACCAAGTTGGCTGTCAACTAGGCAACAAATTGCTCTGTGGACCAGCTTTGGCCAGCTGATCTTTACTGATTGGCTGGATCCTTGGAAACCAATGCCCATATCGCCTCTTCCCCCTTCACATTCTGATTTGTAAAATGGGGATATTAAGACCTTGCCTTACACGATTGCAGTGATGACCAAGGCGAGAAGGATTGAAAAATGTAGGTTGATGTTTATGAAGGGTGTGTGTCTATTTTGGAAATCGTTCAGAAGTATTATCCCCAAGGAGCAGAGTTCCTCTTTGCTATTTGGTAAAATACCCAACTTTTTCCAAACGTCTGCCCACAATTTTTTTTTAAAAAAGATTTCGTTCCATTAAAATTAATGAAAATCCTTTTCTATTTAATTCCCCCCCGCCCCCCATGATTGCTCATTAAAAATTGTAACTCTGTGGCATCACGGCTGAGAGGGTCTTTAAAACTTGGGAGAGTATCTTAGATTATTAGTTTGCTTTCAAGAAAGCTAGTCTCCCCTCAATTCATTTTCCCCATTTATGATATAGTGAAGAGACCCCAAAGGTGTTTTTTTGGATTTCGTTTTTCCTTAAAGACCTTTCACTTCTCATCCAAGAAGCTTCTTCGGTTTTGACGGGATGGTGAGGGATGGAAGGATTTATGTTCCTTGCAATCATCTGGTCGTTAGCACTCAGCCCTCTGAGAGAGAACTAAAAACCAGATGACCGCAAGGAATAGCAATAGCCCTTAGACTTAGGTACCGCTTCACAGTTCTTTTACAGCCCTCTCTAAGCAGTTTACAGACTCAGTCTATCATCCCCAACAATCTGGGTCCTCATTTTACCCACCTCGGAAGGATGGAAGGCCGAGTCAACCTGGAGCTGGTCAGGATTGAACTGCTGGCCGTCAGCAGAAGTAGCCTGCTGTACTGCACTCTAACCACTGCACCACCGTGGCTCATATAAATCAATCCTCCACCATTCAGTAAGAACCGAAGAAGCTTCTTGGATGAGAAGCGAAACATCTTCCAAGAAAAGCAAGAAAGTCCAGTTGCCTGTTGAAAATGCACCTTTGGGACAACCATGACCTGGATGACGGAGAACCTCCGTAGATGGTGGAAAAGAGCAGCAAATTTAACGCTGGAGAAAATCTACTCACCAAAATCACTTGTGCAAACGGCCATCAGGATTTCGGTGTTGTTACACGGACGGCAAGTCCCTGCATCTTTGAAAGGGGGGAGATGAACGGACAGTCACGAAACAGCAACAGTGCCCATAACCAACATACAGATAGTCCTTGATTTACGAGCTTTCATTGAGCAATTTTTCAAAGTTGCAATTGGGTTGTAAAAGGGGACTTATGACTATCCTTGCTCTTATGACCAACACACCATCTCCGCAGTCATTAGTCAAATGCAACTTCACTCTCACTCTCCAAAGCACTTGTGGGCAGGACAAGAAGCAATGGGTGGAAACTAATCTAGGAGAGAAGCAACTTAGAACTAAGGAGAAATTTTCTGATAGGGAGAACAATAAACCAGTAGGACGGCTTGCCTCCAGAAGTTGTAAAAAAATATACAGGTAGTATCAAGACATTTGTCCTGTATTCAAGCAAATTATAATGGTATGCAGGAAAGAACTTGGAAGACTAGGTGAATAGATGCTGCTAAGGGAACAGTCAGATAAGAGGCAGTGTAGCCCACAACTCAATAGCGGGCAGGGAAAGAGACTCCCTAGTTTCTCAGGATGCAAAAAAAAAGATGGAGGATTGTTTTGAGGGGGTCCTTGGTGCTTCCTGAGCCTGCTTGTTTTCTTGCAGATCTTTCATTACCCAAACTAGATAACATCTAGCACTGATGACGTTACTTCGTTGGGCAATGCAACATCTTACAGAAAACCACCAAGTTACTCTGAGCCGCAAATATTCTCCTTTAGAGGGGTTCTACTTTCAGACTTGCGAGATTCTGTCGTTGTCAGGTTCCCCTCGCACATGCATGCTACTCGTTTCCGGCTCTAGGGGGCGGTGCGCCTCCTCCGTTACAAAGCCGAAGAAGAACCAGCGCTGTCTGAAGACGTCTCCGTGGGTCATGTGGCCGGCATGACTAAATGCAGAAGGCGCACAGAACACTGTTCCCTTCCCATCAAAGGTCTCCCTATTTTCCTACTTGCATTTTTTAACATGCTGTCGAACTGCCAGGTTGGCAGAAGCTGGGACAAGTGACGGGAGCTCCCTCCATTACGTAGCACTAGGGATTCGAACCGCTGAACTGCCCTAACCTTTCTGATCGACAAGCTCAGCATCTTAGCCACCGAGTCCCTTTTTCTGTGGTGGGAGCTTTTGCAATAAAATAGAATTAGCCCAGCTGGTTTGCGATTCCTATCTGGTTCATCCCCGCCAGGCCAACCCAAACGCACCTTCCACACTGAGGTTCCTCCAAGGCCAGGAGAAGTGAGCCTTCCACTCACCCCGCAACTCGTAACGGAAAGCTGCAATCCGACGGCTGATGTCTTGGTGCAGAGTGGACTGGAGGAAGAGGGCCGCTTTCTCTCCAGGCAGCCACCTGAAACAGCGCACCTTGGGCTGTAAGGCCGCTTCCGTCTCCGAGAGGAGCAGTTCCAAGACCCCGTCCCGCTCCAAGTAAATCTGGGCTCCCCGGAAGCTGCTCGAGGACTTGATGCAAGCGGTGATATGCCGCGGTTTCTCTTTGCCGGCGGGGCCCGTGGGCAGGCGGGGAGACAGACTTAGGCGCAAAGCTCCGGCAGGATACAGCCATTCCAAGGATCCTTCGGCGCAGTGCAAAGAGATCTGTTCCACGCTGCCGGCTTCTTGGGACAGACCACTGCAAGGGGGAGAAAGAGAGGGTTAGCCAAAGGAGGGGACGGGCATGATCCCTCAATCTGGTGCCCCTGGGCACCCAGGCACGGCTCCCAAATGAACTTGTCCATTTTCCTGTCCCTGAAAAAGGTGCTTTTTCAGGAGGCAACTGGACTTTCTTTTGTTTTTCTTGGAGGACATTTTGCTTCTCATCCAGGAAGCTTCTTCAGCTTCAGCTTCTCCTGTTTGAGCAGGGGGCTGGACTAGAAGACCTCCCAGGTCCCTTCTATTCTATTCTATTCTATTCTATTCTATTCTATTCTATTCTATTCTATTCTATTCTATGCAATGCAATGCAATGCAATGCTATGCAATGCTATGCTATTTTCTATCCTATCCTATCCTATTCCATTCTATTCCTATTCCATTCCATTTCTATTTCTATTCTCCTATTCCTACTCTATTCTATTCATTCCTATTTCTATTCTAATTCTAATTCTATTCTGTGGACTGGATGGTGGGGAATGGAAGGATTTATACTCCTTGCAAACAGCTGGTCATTTTGTATCCTTTTAGAGGGTCGTTGAGGCGACTTGGAGGTTTGTCCAATCAGAGCAGAAGAAGCTTCATGGATGAGAAGTGAAACGACTTAAAAGAAAAACCAGAAATTCCAGTTGCCTCTTGAAAAAACAACAACACACCTTTGGGACAATCATGACCTGGATGGTTTCCAGTCTCACCTGAAGTAGAAATTATAAGGACAGCTAGTCCTCAACTTACAACAGGTCATTCAGCGGCCGTTCAAAGTTACAACAGCATTGGAAAAAAATGACTCATGAGCCTTTTTCAGACTTACGTCCGTTGCAGCATCCCCATGGTCATGCGATCAAAATTCTGAAGATTGGCAACTGACTCCTATTTATGACGGTCCCAGCCCCTTTTGCGACCGTCTGACGGGCAAAGTCAACAGGGAAGCCAGATTCACTTAACGGCCGCGTTACTAATTTAATGACCACAGTGATTCGCTTAACAACGGTGGCAAGAAAAGTCGGAAATGGAGCAAAACTCACTTAAACAAATTTCTCACTTAGCAACATAAATTTTGCACTCAATTGTGATCGGAAGACGAGGACTACCAGGGTTACTTGATCACCATCCGTGGCCTTCCCAGCCAGTTTCTCACAAATAAAAGTCCATGGGGGAAAGTTAGATTTGCTTAGTGACTCGCTCAACAATCATGGTGAGAAAGGTCATAAAATCGGGCACTTAACCATCTCCTTGCTTAGCGATAAAATGTCTAGTCTTAATCGAGGACTACCTCCATCGGAACAGAAATAACTCAGGACACTGGACTAGCTCACAACTGTCTCCCTTAGCAACAGAAACGTTGAGCTCCGTTGTGGTTCTAAATTGAGAACTACCTGTAGTATCTTCCCCCACAAAAATGTGAAATTGTCTGAGAAAGTATAAAAATCTTCCAAGAAAATAAAAACCCTTAGAAGGAAATGGCGGACTTTCTCTTCTGATAAATGGAATGTGGCACATGGGCACAGCTCCCAGATCAGACTTTTGTGACACCCCCAAAGCAAACTTTGGGGCGGGGTTGGTATTCTACCGGTTCGGACTGGTTCTATAGAACTGGTTGTTATGATTCTGCACAGTTCAGAGAACCGTCAAATCGTGGCCCTGGCTGGCCTCCCCTCTCTGCCCCGCCCAGTCAGTCCTTATCGCACATGCGCAACATCGCACACATGCCTGACATCGCTGACTGCGTTCTCCCCCGCCCAGTCCGTCCCGACGATCAGCTTTTCCGACGATCAGCTGTTCCGGGATCCCCTTGGCTGTCTTACTGCTTCATCCAGGAGGCTTCCGATGCGCCTCCCCTTGAGCTCCACTTTTTGCCTTTCTGGGCCCCAGGGAAGCCTTGTGGGAGCAAAAACAGCCCCCCAGGAGGCAAAAAAAAGGAGGATTGTGGTGTTGCTGCAAAAAAAGCCGCACCCACCCAGTTACACCCACAGAACTGGTTGTTAAAAAATTTGAATCCCACCCCTGCTTTTGAGGGGGGACGAGTCTCCCTTTTTCCCACCATGCCATCTCAAACATTTCCCATGGATCCCTGTCTTCCAATAACCGGGATTCATGGCTGCTCTGAGGTCATCCATATGTGTTTCCCCCTTGGATCCTCCTGGGAATGTTGCGGTCGGCTAAACCGATCAGTTCTGCATCTCTGCCTTTCATCGCCCGGTGGCCGGGATGTGTGGGCGACGGCCGTGACTCAGCCACCCCCGTGGCCCATCTGCTCCAAGACGCTGCCTCCTGAGATCCTGACCCACGGTCCAACATGTCCTCCTCCACCCCCGCCTTGACCTGGTCGGGGATGCCAATCGGAGAGGGTGGGAAAGCTTTGACGGACGCCTGCCATTTTCACAAGAACCGTGACTCATCCCAGCTCGTCTTCAAGCCTGCCGAGAACCAGATGTGGCAGCTGTGTCCCTCCCCCCTATTTAATCACACCCACCCCTCAAAAAGCTCTATTGAAGCTCCATAGATAATGAGGCTTGAGGAGCATTCTTTAGGAGTGAAAGACAGGGCTGATTCCCAGGGAAAAAAAGGGGATGTGTCCACTCCACTACTCAGTGTTGTAAACAAGAACCTCAGGATTCCCAAACTCCTTAAATTTCTCTTCTTTTTTCCCACTCCCTCTTTCTCTCTCTCTCTCTCTCCTGTAAACAGTTCTGGAGTCATTTTCCACCAGCTGCTCGGCCCACAGACACGATTTTTCCCCCCCTGTTTTCTTTTTAAACAGTCTACAAAAGGGAATGGGGCAAAAACAAAAGAGACAGAGTTGCTAATGGCATTAGCTTAATTTCTCGCATGTGGGAGCTCAAACGATTAACACATTCGCCCCGAATCTCTCTGCCAAACCAAAAAGTATTATCCTTTGGTGACCAGGAAATATGTGAAAAGGGGAAGGAGGGACGGGGCAGAGAGGGTTGGAAACAGCCAGAGGAGAGAGAAATGGCTTGTAATTATGAGATGGGGTGGGGGTGGGGGGCTGCTCCCCCAGCCTCCCAGATTTCTGTTTCTCCTTTCTCTTTCCAGCTTTCAAACTTAGGCATTCCCAAACCCCATCACACAGCCGGAAATGCAGGGTGGCTAAGAGTCAGGAGTGATCTAATTGAGTTCTGATGCCCATCTGGGGGAGATCAGCTTTTTCCCATCCCAGGGGTTTCTAGATCTATGGGGTCCTTGGCGCCCTCTGAGCTTGGTGGTTTTCCCACAGACGTTTCCTGACCAAACTAGGTCATAGCATCAGTCTGCGAGAAAAACCATCCAAGCTCAGAGAGCCACCGAGGATCTCGCAGATTCAACCATGAGCTGCAAAGATTCTCTCCTATGGCTTTGGGTTGAGACACTGGAAAGAGTGCAGAGAAGAGCAACGAAGATGATCAGGGGGCTGGATTGGAAGCCCAGTTGTGGGAACTGGGTATGCCATGGTATGACGTGACAGCAGCATTCCAATATCTAAAGGGCTGCCACAAAGAAGAGGAGGTCAACTTATTTTCCAAAGCACCAGAAGGCAGAACAAGAAGCAACCATGGAAATTAATCAAGGATAGAAGCAACCTGGAATTAAGGAGAAACTTCTTAACAGTGAGGACAATTAATCAGTGGACCGACCTGCCTTCAGAAATTGTAAATGGTCCGTCAATGGAAATTTTTAAGAGATTGGACAACCGTTTGTCTGAAATGGTGTAGGGTTTCCTGCCTAAGCAGGGGGTTGGACTAGAAGACCTCCAAGGCTCCCTTCCAGCTCTGTTATTCTGCTAGGAATACAACTCCCAGAATTCAATCCAATGGAACAGAAGCTGCCTTCAGAAGTTGTGGGAGCTTCATCGCTGGAGGCTTTCAAGAAGAGACTGAGGCGGGTGGGACTAGATGACCTACAAGGTCCCTTCCAACTCTGTTAATCTGTTAATGCCCAACCAGCATGAGAAGGGACTGCCCCATGCATGTGAATTTTGCTCTGCTTGAGGTTACATTTTTCAACCATCCGTTCGATGATCACCTTCTTGAAGGAGAAACATTATTTTAAGGATTAGTGTAATTATTATTTTTTCTTTTCCCATGTTCCTGTGGCAGCTGAAACCAGAAAAATACTGGGAAATTCTCCCCCCCCCCCAATTCAAATCTCACAACAACTTTGTAAGGGAGGAAGGACTGAAAGACACTGGCTGGTTGCATGTCAACCACAGAGCTTCGAACCACAGAGCTTGAATGGGAGTTTTAATCTGGGTCCCCATAATCATGCAGGTAGTCCTCAACTTATGACCGCAATCGGCACCGGAAAATTTATTCTTAAGCAGTACAGTTGTTAAGCTAGACATCATGTGTCCTCATCCAATTTTATGATTGTTTTTGTCACGGTTGTTAAGTGAGACTCACATGACAAAAGACTTGCAAGCTTCCCCATTGCTGGTCAAAAAGCTGGCTGGGCAGGTTGCAAATGGTGAACATGTGGCTGTGGGACCCTGAAATTGGTCATGAATGCAGGATGGTTGTCAGTTATGAGCACGTGACCATAGGTGAAATGGTGGTAACTGCCAGGACCAGTCATAAGTCACATGTTTCAGTTCTGTCCTGACTTTGAACGGCTGCTAAACAAATGGTCATTAAGTGAGAACCACCCGTGGCTCAGCATCTTTAACTCCTGCATCCTAGGGCATCAATCATTAGGAATGGGTGCCCTATAAAGTCGTTAAGACAGGCCCTAAGCAGTTGTCTATATAGTTGCTAAGAGTCAATGCTATCTTGATAGTACATAATCAATCAATCGTCTGTGTCTTCAGGAGGACTATAAAATAACATGGTTAAATATACAACTCCAACCCAAAGCAATGAGTAATATTTACTTTCCATCCAATTTGATCCACGATTATCATCCCATCCAATTTCCAAAAAGTGCTTTTTTTTTTTTTCAGGAGGCAATTGGATTTTCTTGTTTGTTTCTTTCGAAAACATTTCGCTCCTCATCCAAGAAGCTTCTTCAGCTCGGCAGGATAATGGGGAATAGAAGGATTATCTCCCTATCCTGCCAGAGCTGAAGAAGCTTCTTGGATGAGGAGTGAAATGTCTTCGAAAGAAAAAAAAACAGGAAAGTGCAGTTGCTTCCTGAAAAAAAAAAAAAAAGCATCTTTGGGACAACCATGACCTGGATGGTTGAGAATCTCTGCAGACTTTTAGAACCCATCCAATGTGATAATTTTATCCTCAATCCATCCAATGCGATGACTTGATCCATAATTATCAACTCGTTCAATGCGATGATGTGATCCCCAATGATCAAACTGATCCAATAGGATGGCTCAACCCACAATTATCAACTCATCCAATTTGTCGATTTAATCCATAATTATCAACCCATCCAAAGTGATGGCTTGATCCACAATTATCAACCCAATAACACGCCTTGGTTGGACCTGGGGATCTGATTGAACCACCTTCAGTGATGATTCTGACTGAATCGTCTTTGAAATCCCAAATCTCCAGAGTGATTCTTTTCACGCTGCTCTTAGGACAAACCACCTCCATCAACCCCACTATCCCTTAGGAAGAAAAGCAGGCTAACACCCCAAAAGATAAGTCAGGTATGCCATGAGAAATAACCAATTCAGAAATAACAATAAATAACAATTCAGAGCTTTTGAGACACTCCCTGAAATAAATAGTGCTTTCTTCAGCAACCCTCTTAACTTAACTTTATGATATATAACTTTTCATCGGTCTCAAGAAATTCTTCTTAAGTTTTCCCTCTAAAAAGGATGAATGAACTCCTAAGGCAGAGGTCTCCAAACTTGGCAACTTTAAGCTGGCTGGAGAATTCTGGGAGTTGAAGTCCACAAGTCTTCAAAGTTGCCAAGTTTGGGAACCCCTGTCCTAAGCTGTGGAGAAATTGGCTCCTTTTCTGAGCTCCTTTTTCAAGAGAAAGGGGTCATCTCGCCCAGCTGCTCCAGAATTTACATAAAATATCTGAACTCGTTTATCTGGTAAGAGCCACATTTGCACCTGACTGCAAATCCCCAAAAACATTCAACTGGAGAGCTTTCCCCCCTCATCTTAAAGCTTCAATTCCACAGGTTTTATTTCTTTATTTTGTGTGTCTGCCTGCCTGCCTGCCTTTGAGTCAAATTTGGCTCCTGGCAAAGGCACGGACAAAACCGTGCAGTTTTCTTCTGCAAGGTTTTTCCAAAGTGATAGCTCTTTGCTTTCTTCATCCCAGAGCTCAGAAGTTCACCCAGCTTTAGGTTTTGTACTGGAGTTAGAACTGGAATTCCAGGGTCTCCCAGCATCTATCTGGATGCCTTTAACTGCTTATTTTGAAAGACAATAATCTTCACATTTTTGGACAAGGAAGATAAATGGTTTGAGAGAGGCGTGAAGGAATTCATTTATGCTGAAATGGAAAATCCTTCCCTCAATAGGGGTGGAGGCCTCAGACACAACCTGTCCCCCGTTTTTTTATGCTGCTCTGGCACGGATGCCAGAGTGGACAGCATTCATCAGGAAAGTCACAATTTAATAATCCACCTAAGAGAAGGATTTAGGAGCAACTGTCTACTCCCCTGTTCAGATTAAGTGAGAAACAAACCCCCCCCCCAAAACAAAGAGGGGGTTCCCCCTAACCACCTTGGTCAAACTGAAGAAGCTACAGTGGTGCCTTGGTACTCATCCTTCATTCCTTCTGGGAAGTGCCAGGAGTACCAAAAACGCTGAGCGCCATACATATATTTTTCCTAAGGAATAATGTAGTGAGTCACAAGGTAGCCGACATCGACAAGTTCTAGCTTGCGCGTTGAGTACCAAACAAACAATGAGTACTGGGACTTAGATGAGGGAATAGAAGGGGAACTTACCAACTTTGTAGATGATACTAAGCTGGCAGGAATAGCTAACACCCAAGAAGACAAGACTCAAGATCCAGAGGGATCTCGACAGACTAGAACACTGGGCCCTCTCTAACGAAATAAAATTCAATGTAGAGAAAAGTAAAGTCCTACACTTAGGCAAGAAAAACCAAAAATACACATATAGACTGGGTGAAACCAGGCTCAACAGCAGTAACTGGGAGAGGGATCTTGGAGTCTTAGTTGACAACTAGCTAAATAGGAGCCAGCCGTGTGCAGCAGCAGCCAAAAAAGTCAATGCAATCCTAAGTTGCATTAACAGAGGGATACAATCAAGATCAAGGAAGGTACTAATTCCACTCTATAAAGCCTTAGTAAGACCACACCTTGAGTACTGCATCCAGTTTTGTTCACCACATTATAAACAAGATGTTGAGACTTTAGAAAAAGTACAGAGAAGAGCAACCAGGATGATGAGGGGACTGGAGACTAAAACATAGGAAAAATGGTTACAGGAACTGGGCTTGGCTAGTCTAGTGAAGAGAAGGACCAGGGGAGACAGGATAGCTAACAGTCTTCCAATATTTGAGGGGCTGCCCCAGAGAGGAGAAAGGGGTC